ACAAAGGAGAAACAGCGGACAGTGGCACTCTCCGACATAGCCGATTGGCCAAGAACCGAAACCGTTGCTGAGTTTAGACTACGTACTGGCAAAACACCTTCACAGATTGGGAGTATACACTCAACCCACATGCCCTCTATGTAACCTACAGGAGGAAATGGAGAAGACCCACCTGATTCGATGTCCAGCCCTAAAGACAACGACGGAAGGCCAGAGATATTGGGAAGCAAGAAGACGGCTAATGAACTGCTATTAATTAACTGCTATAAATGTACCCCCCCCCCCACCATTGGGAGAAGCTGAAGTGAAAGATTAAGGGCTGATGATAAATATCATAAAGCCTGCCATTTGAAATAAATAATGTCTAGACAATCGAAAACCAGAACCACATCAATCCAAGGATGGTTCAGTCAACAGCGTTAGAAGAAAAAAAATGGAACATGATTAGCAGGTTCGATATCTGTATTTGAAAGTTTAGGAGTTCAAAAAAACCTCAAAATTGAATGGCACACGAGCTAATCATCATGTCTCCATGCTTGGCCATGCGCATGGCTAAATTCAAATCAACCTCCAGGACAGATCTCTCTCTCTCCCTCCCTCCCTCCCTCTAAGCGACTCATTTTAGCGCCTGAAGAGATAACTGACCAGTAGACCGAACAATAGTCTTCTCCTATTGCGTATTTTAAAGGAATTTGAAAATCAGGACAAAAAAACGGCGAGGTAAAAAAGTTGATCGACATTAAATGTCAGAGGGGTGTTATCTTAAAAGCAAAAAAACATAATCATTCCTCAAGAAAAAAGGCCTTCACAACATTTAAAGAATTATTTTGATAAGGTTGCTAGCATTGTTGAGAAAATGCATTCGATTTGAAATTTATTCCAGAAGGGGTCTATGAAACTGTTCACCAAAAAAGGTTATGAGAGAGGCATTTTTTTCCTGCTAGAACATTAATTCGGCAAGCAAAAACATGGCTAAATTTCACAAGAACATACACGACTCTCAATATATGAATGCAGACTTACTAAAGCATTCCGAATTTTAATATTTAAGTTAGTAAGCTCATGAATAAGCAACTTTTCCGGGCTTCCTGGTTCTTGATGCTACAATCGAATACTTTGCCCGAACCGCATTGAAGATCAATCATGCTCATATTGCAATTCTTTCCCCTCGAATAAATCTAATTAAGCAACATTATTTAATTCGGCTTTTTATTATTAACTAGGCTTCTTAAGAAAGGCATATTTCTTGTTGAAATGGATCCTCCCCTTAGCATTTTATATATTCTCTCCTCATTTGAATCGCTTTCTTTGCGTTTTGAATATAAATGGCCTGGCTTATGCCTCACATGGGGAATTCTCCTAATTGAAGGAAGTGAAGTTCGGAAAGCTGCATGCAAAAATAAGATTTCGAAGCGCCAAGTAAATAATTTATAAAAATATGCCAACTGGAGAAGAATATTGGTAATAAACAGAAAGTATGGTCAAAAAAGTATACAAACCGCCAGTTCATTTCTCGCTTCAAATTTTCATGACCCCACTGTATGTCATATTCCACCACTTCCACAGTACTCACTACACCTTTTCTCTGCCTTTGCGTCTGTCCAAGTAAAAACGTAAATTAAATAGAATTCCGTTTGAGTTTTTATGCCAACGTCATTAACGTTTAAGTGATGGTGAAATGTAGATTCAAACCGATAAACTCATAATTCCACGATTGCATGACGTCATCCGCAGCCAATAAGAATAACGCAACATCTTGTTGGTTACTTTAGATTAATTCGTACGTGAACTAGACACAACAATTTTCTCAATGGATTCGGTATTTTATAGGGTTTAAATAAGCTCCCAAATTAAATCATATAAAATATTTAAGCAAAAAAATGAACGAATTTGCCCCCCCCCCCAAAACGACATTGTAAATCCGAACGTTATTTTCTGTTTCTGTTATTTTCTGACAACTACGGCGCTTTAAAATTATTCGATCGATAAGGATATTTTAATTTACTTTCCTCAAAATTGGAAGATGTTGATTACATTTAATTCGTCTATACGATCGAAAATAACAAGGAATGTGTTCCTTTTAATCAACCAATCACAAATTTACTAACAAAATTCGAAAACCAGTATTTGACAGATCAATTCCTGCCTTCCCAATAGCAATTTTTTGTTAGAGATGAAGAATGAAGACCCTCTAGTGTGCTAACTTATCTCACCACACAAAAGAACAAAAAAGAGGGGATAATGGCGAATTTCAGTTCCGCAAATTAGTAGAAGGGACAAATTATATTGATTTAAGTTAAGACCCAAAAAAAGTATGCGTGAGGCTCAGTCGCCAATATGACTATGAGAATTGGACAAATCGGCGAGAAAATTAAATTAAGGCATGTCGCAAGATCACGAAAAAGATAAGCCTTAATAAAGTTCAGCTTTTGGATTAATTGCCTTCGACAGATGATCATTTGCACGTGGTACCGGATTTGCACAAGAGTTTAACAAAGTTGAATGGTTAATAATAAAAAAATAGTTTAGAAAGGGTGCACTGAAGCAAACATCTGATAAGCATACCATCAAATTAAGTATACAAAAAAGACACCTTAATAAAAGTAAATAATTTAGTGAAAAGACAAAATTATAAATGCCAAATACTTTTTTTAAAATTAATCAGACTAAACGACCGCCGGCAATTTTAACGCTCAACTTCAAATTGGCTTTTTCTGCCTCATCATTACCATGTTCACCGATTTACAAATTTAAAACCTTAGAGGGTGGGGGGGGGGAAGTGAAGAAGGTGGAGGTGGAAATAATAAGAGCAAGCATGATATTACTAGAGCATTCAACCTAATGAAATGACGCCAAACGCCAAAAGTGCGTATCTAGTGGCTGACTATGTCAAAGTATGCTAGTTAAAAGTGATCGATCGAGGGAGAATAGAAAGAGAGATCCATTAAAAATGTTTTCAGTTGATTCTCGAATTTCGAAGTAAACAACTGTTAAGCAAACAAGGCACTAACATTAAAGTGTCACGAAAGCATTGAGGAAATAAAAAGCAGAATAGCCGAAAGTCATTAAAGGTAAATTTTATTGATTCTATTTGTCTATACAAACCACATAAAAACGAATCATTAACTAAAAAACGGGAAGAAAGCACAAAACATTGCATTTGTCACGGCAACACATTTTGTGATTTTTCATTATTGTACTTTCTCCTCGATAGATGGGGTTACAATTTCTATCGAAATTTTATGATCTTCGACGTAAAGTACTTGTATAAATGCTTGTATTGAGAATAAAAAGGAAGTCTATGGCGTGATTAATAAATAGAAAACATTGGAAAGTAAAGGTTGAGTCATCGACAAGATCGAATGAAGCTAATGCAAGGAAAATCGGGAGATTCGACAACTGGGATCAATCGATAATCGATCGAATAGAGAAGATAGAGCCTAGAGTTGGGTCGGCCAGCCTGAAGGAAACTTAGCATTGCATTGAGCGGAATAAATAACTTCTAATGATTCCAGAAAAAAGGCAAATCGCTTTGACGCGCTTCGATAACCACATACATCTGTTCATAAACAAAAATGGTACTATTGGAATGATTTATGATTACCATACAATCCAACCAACCTCCGAGATTCACTGGCAATGAAATGATTAGAAAACAATAGAAATGAAGAGAGCAGAAATGGCACGCTCTTTCCTACCTCTCTCTCTCTCTAACAGACCACATAAATGACATTTCCTGTCATCAGTATTGATGCGACTTCTGCGAGGAAATAATTTTTAGGAACAAAATGTTTTTGGTCAATCAACGAAATCTGCATTGATCCAATACAGTGGAGATATTTTTTTGCAATAGCGACGAATTGTAGGCTAGTGTAGAGTAGTGGGGCTTAAACAAATAGTTCTTGCATTATACCTATCGCGTATAACGCAGGATTTCACCCTTTCCCCAATTCAATTTTATTTGCTTTAGGCTTGAAGCACACGTAGACACTTAATCTGCAGAGGTGCGAAATACCTTGCCATAGCAGCACACCTTATCGAGCCTTTGTAACATTTTAAAACCCTACGGCCAACAGGTTTGGACTGAAATTCACCCAAATATGAGTCTAAAGAATAACTGATAGTCCAACCAATTTAGCACTTAAAAACGAGCCTCCAATTCTATAATGCTCATGCGTGTTCCATATGTTGGGAAACATAATCGCTCAATTTACTTTAAAAGAGGAAGCAATGGGTAATTTTATAAATAACGAGCACATAAAGAAATTTAATTTCTGCATTTTCAGAAATATCTCACCTTTCATTTATCTAGATTTGCAAAGAAATTTTCTCGACAATACAATTAGAATTTCTATTAACTACTCAAGAACTAAATAACTTTACCTCCAGAATTTGATCTCCAGGTCGGAGACGTCCATCCATTGCAACGATGCCATCCAAGTAGATTTCTTGAATCACAATGCACAGCTAAGCGGAGGAAAATGAAACGTTGAACACTGTATTTACCAATGTGAAGGCAAACGAACAAGTTATTGAAGCAAAAAACTCACTAGTGGTGTGTCTGATCCTCCCACAAAGCTGATTCCGAGGCTGGCGTTGGGCTTCCAGGGCAACTCGATAGTAGTGACCTCACAATCCCGAATAGGAGAAGCTGAACGTACACCTCCGCCACATCCTCTGGATGAAGCAGCTGTTGGAGGACTAGGTGTGGTCTCCTCCGATGCGCTACTACCCGCTGACATAAGTGGAGCCTCAGTAGCTACTCTTCGAACGGCTAAAAAGAGTAGCAAAAAAACAGGCTTTGGATTGAATTAGCTAACCTTGATTTGCTGGCCTAACTGTAGAAACAAGTTTGCACCTCATAATTGTGTCAAGACCTCAAATTCTGTCACTTTAGAACCGGCATTCAGAGTATCCTCCTTTGCTAGGGCCTTGCTTAAATAAACGCCAATATTGACGATACTATTGTGATACCACATTCCAACTACCCCTTAACAAGACTTCAAATATCCGAAAATAGATATTGTCAGATTGCGTCCCATTATTAAACCTGTAGAACAATTAACCACACATCAATATTGAAAAAGCACAAACACATCGAAAGAGAAGCTTCCAGCATCCATTTTGCGTGGAGAAGACAGTTTAAAGCCTCCCAAACAGAGACATTCAGATATTTGCCATTACTCAAAGCGATGGCGGTCAATGTCAGGGCGTCCACAGAAAAGATTAGAGCCACAGAAATAGCAAATTGCATCGTCAGTGCCTGATCAATATGCGGGTGCACGCTGCTAGGGCTATTAGACAGCTTTGACGAAACCCTCATCAATAAAGACAGTGGGTTGAAGAGACTTACTCCCGAAAACAGTACAGCAAGAAAGACACTATGGCCTAGCAACATTAAGTAGACAACTAAATCATAGCAACAGGAACCGGGCTTCATAATTTTTTTCTGTTGATTCTTATAACACTTACGACCACTTAAGTTTAAGTGTTACCTTTATTAATGCAAGCACCCTTTGTTCCCCAGTTGGGGACCGATCCTTTGAAGAGTAGAATATGTGTTAAACAATTACTCAATTCAATAATCTAACGACTTTCTGCTTTCATTTTAGACATATATTCTTCTCAATTTCTGTTTCCTTCTCTGACTACAACGATTCCAATCCCTGGATTCACACGAATTGGTTGTAATATACAGTGTAATAACCACTTACCGGGCATGGGTCCAAACCTGACTACAGATTTCGTTGCAATTGGTCGAACGATGGGACTGCCTCCAGAAACAGCAACGTGCGTGGTTCCAGGAGTTCTTGGTTGGAACCGACACTCACGACGATGCTCCGATTGAAGGGCTCTGGCTGCTCGAAATTGACATCCAGTTTTGGCGTTGGAACAGGGTACTACGGTGCCGCGGCACCAATAGGCTAGGTGAGATTCAAGATCGCAACGGGATAGTATCTCTTCGCAGTGTTCAGAGTTGGGACAGATCACCAGCAATTTGTCTAAGAGTCTACAATAGGAGATAAAAATATACCAGGAGTGTAAGATTTTGAGATAAGTGTTAATAAGAAATTTGTAGTGTTTCTACAACTATTCTGAACTTAAAAGAATATTATTGAGAAATTAAGTAAGAACACGTCATATTCATTCGGACCTCAAATTTACAGCTTAATGCACATATTTAGCGTTCAATTCCTACAATATTACAAAAGGATACAGATAGAACCATCATCGAATTTAAAATGAAATCATCAATATCTAAACAAAGGGTATGGAATCCGTTAGAATTCATAAACGGATAAAATAAAATCCATGATCATTTAATGCTTACATCAAAGTGCATGGCTATAATGATTAAGCATTAGAGCCTGCAAAATAATCGATCTCTTCCAAAATCGATAATTAGCAGACAAGTAGTGAAATAAACAAACGAAGAACGACCAAATTATCCTCAGAGGGAAGAGGGAAAGATATTACTCCTTGAAATAGTAATAGGATCAGCCCATTCAACAAGGACAAACATTTGGTGCCAATAGGCAAATTGACTAATAACTTTTGAAACACCAAGAACTACACTAAAGGAAGTCAAGATATGGGTTAAGAATCAGTTTCCGCCTAAACAGAAATTCTCAAGATTGCATGAACTGTGAAAAAAGCATTGCCAAAATAAACAGAAGGCATCAAATGAACTCAGAAATCTCGGGTAGAAAATGGAGCACTTGTGGAGCTGAAAAGAGCAGCAACTTCAGGGGTATAAAAAGGAAAGTGCGAACTGGAACTGCACAAAGAAATCAAAACTTGAGAATAATGAAGCGAACGCTTGTATTCTCAATACAAGCAATGCCAATGTGCATTAGTAAAGAAGAACCATTTAGGACACACCACCTACACTCATAAGATGAACAAAGAACACAATCTAGAAAAGGCTAATTTTTAACGTAACGCGGTTGTAATGAGAAATTAAAAAAATGCCATCTTCATCCAAGGTGTAGTAACCACTATTCCAAGCACTTTCATATTTTGATTCTTATCTTGCATCTCTTCCTCTCCTATTCCCTGCAAAGGTCAAACACATCATTCATCTCCTGGTCTCCTAATTTTTTTGGGAAAGGCTATTATACATATACCGTAAAGGGCAGATCATCACTTTTGATCGGTCTCCAAAAGCAATCATAATGAGGGGAAATAGTGGTATTTTAAAGATTTTTTTCCCATCAACCTAACAGATATCAAAATTGCTTACTTGGAACCAAATACACACCCAACACCACAGAATTTTAGGAAGGAAATCATGATAGAACTGTTACTACCTAAAGTAGTAGAAACTAAATGGTCATGTAATAATAGCCATAATAAATCGCCATGTTTCAGTACGTTAAATCCCCACCCCTCCCCCTCCCCCCAAAGTAATTTATTACAAAATATAAAGAGGGAATTAAACGGACTGAACTAAGAGATATGAATTTCAAGCGCCATATTAAAAAGTAAATATAAAAAGACTATAAAAAAAGCCCAAGGTACCGATATGGAATGAATGAGGGAGGTCTGAAGTGGAAATAAAGAATATTTCTGCCATAAAAAGCGAGTGAAGCTCATTGGATAAATTTCAACTTCCCTCGTCAATAATCCACTTAAATTACTTCTAAATGTGGAAAGCGACAGAGAGCTCCTTTTGATTGGCTAATCGACTAAACGACTTCGATTAATCAACAGTTAAGTGCAATTTGCAAATATATAATTTCGGCTGCGATTTTTAACTCTGCCTTATGCACAAATAAATCGAATACATAAAGGGCACAATATTGGTAATGTTTACGAACTAGGAAGAAAATATTACAAAACTTACAAACATTTTAACAACGAAAAACTAATTTTACCCAGGAAAAGTTAACTTCGGAATAAAAAGAACTCGTTAAAAACTTAAACTTACTTAAATAAGGGGGAAAGGGCCTTATTTGGCTAAAGATTACGTAGGTTATGCGAGAGAATTTAAAAAATACCAAAATCAGATTAAAAGTTATGTTGCCTTAACCTACAGAGAATTCGAGGAGAATAATCTGCCCTTTTAAAACATTTTCTTAGGGCGAAATGGCTACCGATATAACAAGTAGGCTTGCAGCACAAAAAAGTTATACAAAATAACATTTTCAAAGTCTCGGCTGGAGTATTAACTTAACTACTTAATCACTTAACACAATTATGCCAAAAATAGCCAAATTAATTGAGAAGCATATCAATTATGTCAATGCATGAGAAGAAGTGAATGAATTAGGTTAGATGAAAAAAAACTGGCCAATATAAAAATGATTTCAGATTGGAGAACGCGAAAAAATTACAAGAAAGCCATTTAATTCAACCTGGAAATCAGAAAATGCTTAATTTCATCGATAGTACAAGAACTAAAATATAAGATGCTGCAGCGTCAACAGATTCGGAAAAACCATCAAATCTTGAACTTGAATTAGGTTAGCAGAAGGAATAAATGAGTATAGACAAGTTATAAGGATGCAATGATGAGTAGGAAGGCATCAAAGATACCGTCTTGACAACAGACCTCGCCATTTTATATTTAAATACTTGCCCCTGGTGCACTCTGGGCAACGTATAATCAAAAGCCAAAAAGTCTATAAACCGGGAGTTGATTTTTGACTTCAAACTTCCATGACCCCACTTTATGTCATATTCCCCCCACTTCCGCAGTACTCACCTTACCTTTTCCCTGGCTTCGTGTCTATCTGTCACTCTTACGTATGTAAATCACTCTTCTATTCCCAATCTCGAACTTTTCTCACTTTGATGTACCTCCTCCTCTCTGTGAAGCCTGAAGTCAGCTAAAGTGCTAGTGATAACTATGAAAACACCTGGCATTTGAAATAAATAAATATTTAAATACATATATTGCACAGAAGAATTCAAAAGGGAGAATTACCCATTACAAAGACGGGAGAGTTAGGAAGCAGAGGTATCATTTGCCATTAAAGAGGCAGGACAAATGAAATAGACACCGATTGGTGAGTGAGAAACGAGAATTTTCGAATGAGGAATACAAGCCAAAGGTGACATCTAT